GTAATGAAAACAACCAGAACCAAGCAAAAAAGAATAATTAGAAGAACAAAGAAAAATAATGATCGGCATCTCAATTAAGACAAAGAACAACTAGCAGAGCTACTCCCTTAGTGACTTTACACGCGTCCCAGCAAACGGTGCCCCGCATGTTATTCGACCAGTTCTTCCCAGATCAAAAGAAGAGCAGATCCTTTGCTGGAAGTCATCAGCACGTTAGTTATAAACGGACTGGGTGCGAGAAGCTACCCTTACATCAACCTTTGCTTGCAGTTTGCACACATTTTACCCCTGATTCAAGGCTGGGATTTAACTGCCCGTGTTGTTATTTAACAAGCAAAACTGAAAAAGTACAGCTGGCTTAATTTAGTCTGTGTGAGCAAGCCTGAAAGCTATTGCATGGACAGCGGAGGAGAGGAAATATCTCTCCGTGAAGATTATTCCGTTGATGGTCTTAAGTATGCATCTGGCAAATTACAGATAGTTTTGTGCATGTTGCTGTCGATTTTCATAAGAAATCAGTCATTTAATCTCTTTTTGCAACTGAGGTTCTCCTTATTCTCCTTAATTGTTGAGATTCCTTTCTATTTGTTCTTTAGAAATAATTGTGGTGGGAAAGAAAGCAATGCTTTTGCATTTTTGGCAAGAAATAATCTCTTTCATTCCTATGCAGACCTCTTCAGGACCAGTGCTATAGCTGTCTTCCCAGCTGAGAAAAGACCACGCAGAATTTCCATGTAACCTGTCAAATCACTGGGGCCTATGGGATAGGAAGGCTTCATTTTCCACCTCCTCTGTGCCCTACTAGCTCAGCTTAGCAGAGTTGTTAGACTTTGAACTGTCACGGTCTCATCACATCTTGTGGTAGCTCACAGGCAAATGTGAAGGGATGAGATAGTTCTGTGTTCCCAGTTTGTAAGCAACAGAATCGGATGCGCTTCTTCCACCTAACAGTAGACAGATTTTGGAGGTTGAAACCTTCAGAGGTGGGCTTCAAGCAAAGCTGGTATGGAAATAAGAAGACTTTCTGATAGGTAAGAAGCTTGAAAACATTGCTGACCAGAGCCCGGAGCCTGTGGTTGGCAGGACAGGAGTTAAACATTAAAAAGTTTTTTCTTACAGACAGGAAAGGAAAAATTTGTAGCTCATAATCAGCCCATGAAAAATGTAGTCTGCAATGTTTCTTTCCTGTCTGAGATCTCGGAAGGCTCCCGTTCCTATCTGTCTCTGGGTCTATCGAGTACGGGGAGTTATTTCTCAAGGGCAGCAAATGTAAAGCTACTGCAAGATATGGGCAATCCTCCAGGCCGTTTTCAGAAAGCTTCGCTTGCTGACACACCAATTAAACAGTCAGGCGATAGGAGGTCAGTAGGGCACAGTGTACCTTTTTTCTCTTTCCTATTTACCCTCTTGACTGAAATGATTTTGCTGGCAAAAATCAGTGTCTGTAACGGCTGTGGACTCTTCACCCTGCTCTGGGAGACTGGGTCTGTCTTAAAATCTGTTTATTCTTCAGCTTATGAAAGTGGCCATCAACCAAGCCTCTGGAAACTGAGCTCAGTATAAGCAGCGTGTGAACAATATTTAGTACAAGAACTTCTCCTGTGGAGAGGCTCCTTCTTTGAAATAATTTCTGAACTGGTAAATGCTTATAAGAAAAGAATACCCAGCCTAGGTTTTGGTGGTGGAGCCAGTAGGGTTCATGGTGAGTTTGCAATGTGGCTGGGGAACGGGGCACAGAGCAGGAGGAAAGACATGATTAGGGCATGGAACGAGGCACAGCGTGCCCCTGAGCGTGGTGGAAAAGAAAGGAAAATACTGTGGGTATAGGACAGTGACTGTAAATGCTGCTGTGATGCAGCATTCTGGGTATGTGTGGGGCTACAGAGGATGTCTGAAAATGTGAGGAAGAGAGGGGAGGGTGGAGCGAGAGCTTGGGAGCATCGCTGTGGACATCCGTCTGTTGTGGCCTTTCTTGCACCTTGGCATGCAGAGCTGGGCCGATGTCACTGGCTTCACCGCAGCAGTGGTGGAGCCCTGGCTGTCGTGTGACACCGGTCCCGAATGAGAAAGACGGTCCTGAAGGTCCAGATAAGAAGTTTGGCCACCACTGGCCTAAACCGTGATGGCCTTACCTGTTGCACGTACTGTGGAAGCTCGTCTGAGCACAGCTGTGAAAACTTGCTCCAAAATGGGTTTTGAAAGCTGCACAAGCTGTATTCCAGGTTTGTAATGAAACCTAGAGTCCAGAACGTGTTTGCATCATAATTTTTGGTCATGAATACTTTTTGTAGCTCTAAAATTGTAATTCCAGAGTTTCTCCTGTCAGCAAGCCTAACCAAACAGCGTTACTGACAGATTTCCAAATACTCTCGCTAATTAGAAGTTCAAAGTTGCCACAATATCAGAGAACAGGAAAAAACAACAGACTAAAGTGGACAGGACTTGTAAAATGACATCTTTGTGGGATTAAAAGTTGACTGAGTCTTGAGGAAAAACCAATGTGGTTAACATGAGACAAGGAGAGTGGGAGAAACGGTCTTCACCCTTTCTTAACTGTTGGTTTATTTTGAGTGCCCCCGAGCAGCTGAGTTACCCAGATATTGCTGTGCTTGAAACGTGCCGGTATTTGTAAGCAGCTCTGATAGGAGAGCTTTCTGGGTTGGCTTTTGGGTTTCTCACTGACTGCATGTGAAACCTGTGTTCATATCTGAACTCTTCTCATGAGCTCATAAACTGAGGAGAGAGAGGTCCTCCTGGCATGCTTGTCCCTGTCCATTTTACAGCTATTCACATGATAGACCTGGAGCCACTATGTCCGTGTTTCTGAGGATTTGAACTTTAAAAGCCAAGTGCCCGATTGTCATGAGCATGGAGCACAGATGCTCTTTGAGCTGACGCATCGGTGTCTCTAACTGGATACTCATGGTTAGAGATTTTTACTGAGAGCATGGCCCTCCTCCTCTTCATGGGATACCACTGGGAGTACGGCATACTGTTCTTGCATGAGGGTTTGTGAATCGGGGTTATTGGAATAAGTTCTCTGCAGTTGGTGTCTTTTAGCTGCACGTGTTTAAGCAGATCCGGGATAACTTTCCTGACCGAGATCCAACGCTCCTATAGCTCCTTAAGCATCCTTTTCCTGCACTGCCAGCATGACTGACATACCTTCTTGTATGGTATAATTTGACAGCCCCTCCTTGTCTTTGGGCTAAGGGCAAAATCCAGGTTCTGCTGATAGATTATTTTTTATTTATGTATTTTATGTATTTCATCCTAAGATTAGCAAGACCAGTCTGTTTTCTGGGTTCAGCTATCTTCAAGCTCGATATTGGGCGCTGGCAGCCCATTACTACCCATGCTGCACGTGTCACGATTAGGGTTTTATCTTCACAGATGAGGCAATCTCACCAACTGTGTATGCTCGTGGCGGTTAGGTTCAGGCTCGGACTGCTTTTTCGCAGAACTCAAGGTTTTGTGAACGGGCAGTCTTTCTACTAAGACAGCAGATAATGAGCAACATGGTGTGGAGGAATACACAGCTTCAGTTTGGTCTCCAGACTCGGCAGCAGCGACTGATGAGAGGAAGGGCACCAAGGGAAGCATTTGATTTAGCACTTCCACTGAGAAGCTGCTACCCTGAAGGAGCTGCAAGTACCTTGTTTCCTCCCTGCTATTTTCCCACAACGTACCAGTGAGCAGTGACGGAGCAGACATTGCAGCCTCACCGGGCCACAGCTTCTCCCACTGGCATGAGAGGGAATTAAGAAATTATGTTCTGCTTTTGATTGTGTGCGTAATGTCTGGCAGTTGTTCAAACACGGTCATGGTACGGCTAAGCAAAGATACTTCAACTGATTAAGCAAAGCATAACTCCAAGGCAATTTGCAAATCTTGCTTTGCTAGCTTGACAAACAGCGCAATACAGGGAAGCGGGATCATAATGAATGTCAGTAAGAGACAATTATTTGGTTTTATCTGGGGTGCTGGTTTTATATACTTAGGGAGTGCTATTTCCATTGTTATTGATTGCAATGGATGATTGCTTCCTGAGGAGGGGATGCAGGGATGGCAGTGCCGAGCTCTGCTTGCGGGGACCCAGTGCCAGGACGCGAGGGAACAGCTCAGCGCTGCGCTGGGGAGGTTTGTGTTGGCTGCTGGGAAATATTTCTTTACTGGGAGGGTGGCCAGACCCTGGAACAGGCTCCTGGGGAGGGGCTCGGTGCCCCAGGCCCGCCGGTGTTTGAGAGGCATTTGGCCAATGCCCTGAACAACGTGCTTGAACTTTTGGTCAGCCCTGAAGTGGTCAGGCAGTTGGACTGGATGATGGCTGTAGGACCCTTCCAACTGAAATAGTCTATTCTATTATCTTCATTGCTTTATCTATCATTATTTGATATCCTGAACTTAATAGAAGCATCTCGATATAGCTTAAAAGGATTTTATTCTTTATTAGTTTGCACTTTGGGGCTGTAATAGGATCCGCTTATAAGAGTGCAAAACATCACCGAAGTACCTGGCAAAAATCTGAGTGATATCTTAATAAGATTCCACGCATAAAAAGAACGGGTTAAATTCCTTGCTCAGAAAAGTCTTCGTACTGCTTTCACGTGGGGTATGAATGTCTCGGTGTTTTCATTGGTATGTGAGATACATACAGTTGCGTCAATACATGCTGTGTACAGCTCTGTGTGTTTGCTTTTAGTGCAATAGCATCAATCTTGCGAGCCTGGCTCGATCAGTGCTCTGAGGATTTCAGAGAGCCGCCCAACTACCCGTGTCTGCAGAAGCTGCTGGATTACCTGAAGAGGAATATATCTGGCTCTGACCCGGAGAGGAGGGCGCAGAACCTCTTGGAGCAGTTCCAGAACCAAGAAGCGGAAAGCAACGGTAAATTGCCTTTCCCTTCCATCTTTCTGTTCTCTCAGACTGTGTGGTACCACAGGGATTTATGTGGAGTACGCTTCATTAACTCTTATGCTAATTGACAATGCTGTGAGGCTCACCAGTAGCTTTTTTCTTGTTTCTTTTTTTTTTAAAAAAAAAGTCCCTGTCTGGGGCTGCAGGTTCTGTGTGGTATGGAACAGTCGTACAGTGTAGGTGTCTATGCCTGCTCATTCTGGGGTGGACTGGGAAATCCAGCACTCCTAATATTTAGCCAAAGCTTTGAGATTGCTGCGGCAATGAAGAGGTTAATTGTCAGCACTCTTCCCATGTCATTGAATTAAAACACACAGCTGCTTTTTAGCTGGTCTTCTCATTTTACTCCCCTCTCCCCCCCCAAGAAAAGCCCAAACCAGCAAAAAGCAAAATACAAAGCAAAAGCTGTGACAAAATACAGCTTGAGTCACAAGCCTTGTTGTCATGAAGCTTTTCTCCCTGGTTACCATCATGTCAAAGGAAGTGTCTGTGGCTGTTTTTTCCTATTTGAGTGGCCGGCTGCTTGTATCCAAGGACAGAGGAAAAACTTACATTACTGGGGGTCACAATCTACCGAAACAATAGTGAACTGTAGTAACACGAATCTGCTGTGCGCAGCATCAAGCCCGACACATACCCTTATCCCGCTCAGGAAGCTTCCTGCGGCATAAGCTGAAAAGCCATAGGCGCTCACGTAGTGTGTGAGAGAACTGGAATCAACTTCCAGCTTTGGCAGAGGGGCGAGAGGGAAGAATTCGTGTAAGAAAGGAAATGACAGCAAAGAAACATTTCATCCCATGAAAACTGTGTGTGCCGGATGTTCCAGAAATACCATGTCAATGCATAGTACTGTGAAATGCCAAGTTAAGGCGGTCGTTAACACATACGTAAAAAGGAGTACCGCACAGAGCCCAGGCACTTCCCAGGTGAGCGAACAGGGTTGCCAGGACGTGCCTGTTGATGTCCTTCCTGGGGCTGGTTCCCACCGGTCAAACAAAGCAAGCCCAGGAGAGCTATATTTGGGTTCAGCTGTTGTCCAAAGTGAGCAGAAGTTCCCAGCAGCCCTGCTTTCTGCATTGGTTTCCTCATGTAGCAGTTGAAAAGGTTCTTTTTTAAGTTTTATGTGGGTCGATTTGAATGATAACAATTTTCAAATTGTGGCAGAATAGAGGCCGTTAATTAGAATAAAATACAAGGAGAACACAATGCAGTATGTTGTCACTTACCTTATCAGAGCTCCATCTTTGTTCATTTCAGAGATTTCTTTCAAAACCCTTAGTGTGTTGTCTGCAGTCAAGACTTGCTGATAATTATTGTTTGAAAGCATTCACACTGTGCTATGAACTTGCAAGTTTAGGACCTAATCCTACAGTTTGATTTGTGTAGTCAGACCGCTGCTGGCATGGCCATCAGCCGTGCCAGTAGATTCCATTGCAGCGCCAGATAGACAGATACAAGCTGTTCCCCAGCCTCGGTGCTTGCAGCTTGAACGATACAAAGCAAGGTGAGTCAGAGACTGCAAATTCAGAAGGAGCACGCGGCTGCTCTCGGTGAAGTCAAGAGGGCAGCGGGGCTTCGAGAGGGCTAAATGGATCAGAGCGATCTGAAGACGATGAGATACTCGAGTGTAAGAGGATTCCAGCTGCTTGGGGAGTAAGGACAAGGCTGGTTACACGTTTATGAAGGTGAGAGAGAAAGAAGAAAAAAAGGCATGACAAAAGAAAAGGAAAATCTTGGGTTGCACTCCAGGACCCGATTTTAAGGGCGCTGTGAGGTTTTGGGTAGGGTTGTGACTCGGTGATGAGGATTTTCTGTTGACTTTCAAGAGCTGTCGGGAAAATGAGGAGTTACATAGCCAAAAAGAGAGAGAAAAAAAGTGTGACTTTTGTAACAGTTCAACAGAATTTAATTATGCTGATTGTTACAAAACAGCCACAGAAAAATAACGCTGGAACAGAAGTCTCCCTTTATCGCATTTAGCTCTGTCAATAAATTGTGCAATTGGAATGTACAGATGGAAATCTGGATACAGCCTGTAGTTAGAATTTGTTCTATCAAAACTGTGGCAGTTTACATTAGTTAGCAGAAGCTAATCATCAATGAAGAAAGGAGCAATGAAGTGTTTTGAAAACAATGATGAAGTATCACTTTATCTGCCTTTGTTGCTTTAATGTCTGTTCTGCTTTAACTGGATACGAAGTCTTGCATAACTTACCCTGAAACGCGCTGCTCGTTTTTGTTAACGAAATCTCGCTAGTAGTAAGCTCAGTACTTCTGTTGTTAGTCTTCACCAAGCCCATTTTTCTTCTCCCTCCTTTTGGAGTTACTGTTATTTACAGTAAAAGGGATTAGGAAGAGGATTTACTTTCAGGGATTTTGTGTTTGACTTCCTCCTCTGCCATGTGAAACAAGGACATATTTCTTTGTGTTTTAATGCGAGTTTGTTCCCAGCCTGTGGGAGCCAAAAGGTGACATGGGAACAGCTGTGAAATCCCTTCCCTTCTGCACTGGCCCGGGGTCCCTCGATGGGGACAGGTCTCCTCTCACCTCTTCACTGCTGCCCAGTGCAAGAAGCAGCATTCAGCTGGATGCTGTAGGTGCTCACTGTAGTCCCTTTTCCAGGAAATATTCCCAGGGAGGGAAGGTGAAGGGTGCTGGAATAAACTCTACGAGGATGGTGAGGGGACTGGAGCATCTCTCCTATGAGGAAAGGCTGAGGGAGCTGGGCTTGTTCAGCCTGGAGAGGAGAAGGCGCAGAGAGGACCTTAGAAATGCTTATGAATATCTCAAAGGTTGGTGTCAGGAGGACGGGGCCAGACTCTTTTCAGTTGTGCCCAGCGACAGGACAAGGGGCAACGGGCACAAACTGCAGCAGAGGAAGTTCCAGCTGAACACGAGGAAGAACTTCTTCCCTCTGAGGGTGACGGAGTCCTGGCCCAGGCTGCCCAGGGAGGTTGTGGAGTCTCCTTCTCTGGAGATATTCAAGCCCCGCCTGGACGTGGTCCTGTGCAGCCTGCTGTGGGTGACCCTGCTTGGGCAGGGGGTTGGGCTGGGTGACCCACAGAGGTCCCTGCCAGCCCTGAACATTCTGTGATTCTGTGTGATTCTGTAATACAGTCCATGTAGCCCTGTGAAGGAACATACGGTGCCAAGAAAATCTGATACCTCCTTTTATTTCCACACATGGGAGATGAAATTTGGATGCAAGAGCATTCCTAATGCAATGTTTTGGGGATATACTTGCAGTCTCATCCCTTTGCAGTTTGATATTTTTTGCCCCAGATTATAAAATGCATAAATACTGAAAAGTAGATTAACAAAATTCTGCAATGATAATAAAGAATTTTTGTTGGGGTGGTGGTTGTGTTTTTCAGACGAATGGTTAGCAAATGGGTTGTCACTTCTCAGCTAAGAGACTCCAAACAGCTCAATTCTCTCTAGTTCTCTGTTTCTTCCACCTTTTTCTTTGCCAGTTTTATCTTCTGGTCATCATCTTTCTCACTAAAATATGCAGCACAGTAGGGCCATTACATCAGGCAGGACCCTTTGGATGTTCTGCTTTAAAATACACAGTGATGTTTTAAAATAAGCAAACATCGATCTGCTTTGATTCACTGTTTTACTGTATAAATTTACTAAGTTGTGTTTTCCATCCTGGACAGATGGGTTCCATAGCACTTTCCCCTCTAACTTATGTGATGAAGAGGAACTGGAGATCAGCAGTCCAGAAGAATTCTCTTCTTTCCCAGAGGACCTTGTGGCAGAGCAGTTGACATACATGGATGCAGTATGTAGAGTATATGTACTACTTGAAATGCTAGGCGATGTGGTGCTGGGCTTCTAAATATTTTTTTTTTTAAGTTATGTCAATAGAAGTACAGTGTTCCAGAACAGGTCTGTTGTTGGGATGCAGAACACAGCTCTGCTTGGTTATCCAAGCTTGCTTTGTTCATTGGGCTTTTTCCTTCAGTCATTCTGAATGTTGGCTTTCTTTTTAAAAAAGAAAAAAAATAATTGTGAATGTGTACTCTGTGGCCTTTTTTTGCAAGGTTTAACATTTGACACCGGAGCAATAGCACATTTCGACTATGTTGCTTCCTGGCCTAAAGATGTACAGGTACTCTTAACTGTAGCGCTCTGGTTTGGTTTGGCTGTATCAATCTCCTTCAAAATATCGTTATATAAATGATATAATTAATTTAATTATATCATTTATATTTAAATTATATATAAAATTATGCATATAAATTAATAAATATATATAAAAGTTATATCATTTTCCCTTGGCCACACAACTGATATGCAGGCATCTCTTATTTTCCCAGGACTATTTAGCTGCCAGTTCTTTGAGGGCATCAAGCCTGTAAAGACTATGCCGAAGTGTGTATTTTAAACTAAGCGAAAACAAATATTTACCTTTTAGTACAATATTAGCTTTAATCCAATTTGTACTGCAAAAATGCATTTCTTTTCATGGACAACAGAGATCTAGGAGAATCCTGCTGACTTATGCACCTCTCTTTCACTCTAGCAACTCTTCAAGAAAGTTGTACCCTACCACTGCTTGGGAAGCATCTGGTCTCAAAGGGATAAGAAAGAAAACCAGCACCTGGTACCTACCATCAGAGCCACCATCTCTCAGTTCAATGCCATTACCAAATGTGTTATCAGCACTATCCTGGAGAGCAAAGAACTCAAAGCACAGCAAAGAGCCAAGATCATTGAGAAGTGGATTTATATTGCACATGTAAAGCATTAATTCTAGACTGTTTAATGGTTCTTGTGCGGGAGTTGGGAGGGGAGAAAAAGGGGGTTGCATGTATTGCTCCCAGGCCAGTGAACATCTTACCTCTAAGTCTTTCTATTTCTGACGGATTTACTTTGTAATAGCAGATAAAGTATTGCCCTTCCTCTCCTTAGCTCCTTCCCCGCCATGGAAATGTGATTGATGCTTGTCTCTTCACAGGGTTGGGAGTGCTAATTAATGGGTGAGGCAGATACTGTGTCTTGCAGATGGGGAGTGCCATGTACTTGATAATGTAACATTTACGGTGAGATGGGTGTAAATTCAACCAGTTTGCTTCCCTAGGAAGGAAATACTGCTTATATCAGCGAAAGAAGTGAAGGAATGGTTGATATCATCCAAAGGTTAGACTTGTTTTCAGAGGAAAGTTTACCCAGAATGGAGCAGGACGGACTGGCAGTGGGTACAGCCAGAATAAGCTTTGCGCTCACCTGCTTTTGGCCATTCATGTTCGGTCAGTGAGCATCGTGCTCCCTCTCCTCTGTCTGTGAACACCACGAGACCTGACATCAGGTGTGGTGGAAGACAGCACAACTGTTTTCATACATTTTTATATATCTGCGTGTATATATGAAAGTAAAGTATATACAAATTTTAAAGTAAGCGCAGCAAAGCTAGCTAACTTCTAGGAAGTAGTAGCCTCTTTAACACGGAAAAAAATGAAATTTTAGTTTGTACTCTCTTGTTTTGAAAAAATCTTGAGGCTGAAAAGTTGTTTGCCTACCGAGTTATTCACGGTTTACATTAGGTACACAAAACAGATGGTTTGGAGGGGTTGAGAGCTGCAAGCAGTAACCAGCAAAACTAAGTAGAGTTACAGTACAGTACCAGTCTCCTTGTCCTCTTACCTTTCTGCTTTATCGTTGTCTCATAGGTTTCTTCAACGCCTTTTTACTCTTTGCTTCAATTCCTTTGTCTTGTAGCAGATCAGGCGTTTCTTAATCTTTGCATGACAGGGTTTTGCATGCCTTCTTTACATAACGCTGGTTTGTTAATTTCTTAGATTTTATCTTTAATATTTTACTGCAGTCTTTTTAACCCCCCTTCAGAGCACTGGGCAGCTGGCACTAAACTAGATCTCTCTTTTGAAGAGAACATTAAAGCACTTTCATACGGACGTGCATTGACTCTCGTTTTAGGAATCACATGGATACTTTCCGAGCTATACAAAATAAGCAGTCATAAAAAGCTTAAGCCAGACAGAGGCTTTCCAACCTTGACGCTGCACCTCCTGCGCTTCCAGAGGCAGCATGGTCAGTCCCAGCACCTGAACGTCCGCAACTGCGTGGTTCAGGCAACTGGTATGGGGAAGCAGTTTTCCACCTCTCTTTTGGCACGTACATCGACTCGTTTCTGTTATCATCTGACGGCTGCTTTACAGCCCGTGTGAACAGATTAGGAAGTTCGATTCCTATTTTCTGTATGCAGATCTTTGAGTTGCAGAGGGTACCCGCTAAAGGGGCCTTTATGGGGCAGACGGGGCTGCAGCCTGGACGAGCAAGTACGAAGCCGATTCCTGCTCATCACGGGGCAGCAGGGAGGCCCGGGGAAGCCAGGACAGGCACCACTCTCATCATACTTGTTCTGTGGGTGGAGAACTTTGTTCTCCACCTCTGTTGATTCATTGCTTCTCCCTTTAGTTAGCTCATACATACAATTAAATACTCCAGTCCTAGCTAAGCACATGAAAAATGCATGTGCACGCTCTGCAAAATAATTGCACATGTAGAACAGCTAGCTGCATATTTACTTAGCTGCCCACTTCTGAAGAAAGTTTCTTGCTTTGTGCATGCAAATGAGTGTTTTGAATAGTCAGATGCCTGAATTAGAAAATAATCCACTCATTAAAGTGCAGTCATTCACTGACAGCTAACTCTGTAACTTAGCAGCATGGAGTTCCACATTTGTTATCTCTTTGTGACTTTTGGATCCAGTTTCTTGGTTTGCAAGATAAACTGAATACTTTTTCTAACTGCCAGCCCTCTCTGCTCCACCTAGATCTAAAGTTCCTGAGCAGAAGTAGCCAATTTCACTCACACAATATTTTCTTTAAAAATAAAAAGTAAAAATGAAATCGTTAATTTCCTGTTATGCTTAATTTTTTTATATCAGAGTTGCTTCTGCACAGGGTTCTTTCTGGTTTTCTCCTTGTGAAGGACACAGCATGAAACAAAGCATTCAAAGCAGTCTTAAAAAGTCGTCTTATATACAAATGAAAGCTTGCTAAAGTTTAGTCTGCAGTCAGTTAAATCACTGAGAACACAAAATCCAATACTGAATTCCTAATGGGCTCTAAAATATGCAACATGCAATTAAGTCAAGATGGTTCCAAATTGGATCTTGCAGTCCAAACTCTGGTTGTATTTGAAAAAAAGAAATGCTAAGAATTTGTGCCTCTAAATCCACGCTCTCCCCAGCCTGAATTTCAAGTTGAACATAAAGAAAGAAGGGTCACGTTCTCAAATGTGTCAATGTCTGAAGGAGAGCTGTTCTGTGGCTTCTTTGGCCCCAGACCACGCAAGAATAGCCTTCAGGTCTTGTGTGTCCTGGAATACCTCCTGGTATCCATCTAGCCTAACTGCCAACCTGCTTCAAGCGCTGTCTGCCCCGTCAGTCTTCCAAGCCACACTCTGTGAAACGTGACCCCAAGCTGCACATGTTTCTAGGTAAAGAAGTGGGAGCAAATGTACTTGCCTTAGTTGTTCAGCCAATTTTAATGCAACTCCTGAACTGAGCTGCTGATATATTCAGGTCTGGCTTCTGTTTATGCTAAGGTTGCTTTACATCTGTTGAGTCCTACAAAGGAGATAAACGATGTCTATTTTCACTGTAAGGATCCTTAACATAATCAGCGTTATTCGTGTAATAATCAGCCCCATAAACATTTGCAGAAGCGGAATTGTAGTTTGAATACCTTCTCATCTGCATGCAACAGTCAAATTGGCATGTGTTTTGTCTGCTCAATTTGCGTGTACAGACACCTGTTGGAGAGCTTGGGCTTGCAAGAGTGTCTTCAAGTCTGTGGTGCCCGTGCTCTGGTTCATGAGCCACCAACAGATTGACAGGAGGTCCTTGAAAAGTCACAGGCCACACTTTCCCCCTCCTCCTTGCTTCCATCTGCTTTACCAGGAATTTGTGCTATTTTTCAGGGAATTAAGTTTTTCAGTATCCTTTTCCGTCAAAGCTTTTGCCGCGGAGAAGCTGCGTAAGAAATGCCTATGAACCAGTCTCCCTGTTAGGATTTGATCCCAGCTCTAGAGAAGCTGGGAAGGTCTTTCTCTTTAACAGTGTGCATATACTTGAATAACAGGTTATTCCTTTGAATGTCTGTATTTTTAATTGGCACTTAGATGATTGAGGGTTTACATTTGAAATACCACATAGAAAGAGGCAAAGCCTGGTTTTTCCCCTAAGGGGTAAAAGGGTTTGGTAACTATAAAGACCTTTTAAGAAGAGTAACATTTGTGCTTTTTAGCCTGCCTTCATGGACTCGGTTGCACTTTTATTTGTACTAGCAGATCTGGAAGCTGTAACACTGCAACACTGCCACAAATACATGAAAGTGGGGCTAACAAGATAGAAGTGCCAAAGCCCATCAAGTGTTTCATGGCTGAAGGGGGGAGCGATGTTTTTGATCCTCAATATTTGTACAGCTGCCTGCTTAGCAGTGAGAATGCATAGCAAGCGTGACACCGGTCAAACAGAAGAGCACTAACATATTCATAATGCTGACATTTAATGCTCCTATATTTCTAACCGCTCCTTTCACAGGAATGTAGGATCCTGAAGAATTTTTCCTCCTTGAGGGCCATCATTTCAGCCCTGCAGTCCAACTCCATCTATTGGCTAAAGAAGACCTGGGTGTGTGTTCCAAAGTAAGCCTGTTGTTCTGTTCCTTTATACCCATCTATCCACTTTCTCACAAAAATCTCAGACCCTGCAGTGGGATTAAAAGCCCTGCTCAGGCTCTCCATGCCTATGGCATTTCTTTGTGATGCTGTCAAGTAAGGCCTGACTTTACTGGGAGCGTCAGAAGATCCTGGGAAGGTTTCCGGTGGATGTACCGCATCTCATCGGATGCATTTTGTTGGTGTTATCTTTTATATGCCCAACTGTTCATGATTCATGAGAAAAGGTAGTAATCTGATCTGATTTAGAGTGCTTAGTAATAACCCCTATGATTTAATCTTCTCCTGTACAGGGATATAATGCTGATGTTCGAAGAGCTGTCTGATATCTTCTCAGACCACGACAATTATTTGACAAGCAGGGAGCTGCTAATGAAGGTGAGAATTCACTTGAGTTGCAAGGCTTGTGACCCAATCAAAGCTGAGATTAGCCCTTTTTCTAACCAGCTGCCAAAGCTCATCTCCCCCTGAACTACTGTACGAGGTGGTTTTATTGCTCCTCAGAGAACCTACACTAGCATATATAGTCACATATTAGCGCTTTGGATTTATATACTGCTCTGTATAGAGCGATGAACCGCTAGCTGGGGCACCCTCTGAGCAGACCTGGAAAGGCTCAGGTTTGCACCGATGAGCGCAGAGCATCTCCAAACAAGATTCTCAACTGGGTTGCACCACTGTAGTGCTTTTGACTTCACTGGAACAATGCCACTTAGGTTCAGCTGAGGAATTAAACCAAGATGTTTATCCAACTATCTCGTACCTTTCTTGGAACTCGAAAACAGGGCTGGGAATTTCAAAGGAACAGGCTTCCTGCTCTGTGTGTGGTCAGATGGACAACAAAGCAGGCTCTGTCTGAAACAGTTTGACCTGTGCGCTCTCCTGAGCGAACCCCAACAAGCTCCGGAGCTTGAAAGGAGCGAGGAAGAATAGCAGGGAAAGGTTACATTCTGTAGAAACTAAGGAATGTTTGTGGCCATTTTTTCTGTTTATATAAAAAAGTTTCTACAAACTGGCTAACCAGTTTACTTTTTGGCAGTTCTATCCAGTCAGTCTGGCGTTTGTACCTCACCTTGGTGTCTGTTTTGCTCTGGAATGATGGGATGAACACATTCAAACCTGTCAGTCTGTTTTGTTTATCATCCATTTATCAACATCTGTGGCTAAATTTTAAAGCAGGTGAGACAATAATAAGCACAGAGGGAAAATGTTTGTTTAGAGCAGCTTATTTAAGTAAATATTAAAAAGAGAAAACAACTCATTCTGAGCCTGGACCTTCTGGCTCCCAGCAAATCACTCTCTCCAGCTGCCGTAAGTAGATCTGCAAAACATTTTGAAAGCAGCGAGCGGAGAAAAATTCCGCAGAATAGCTAGAACCTCTCTCCTACTTCTCGGACCATTTTGTAACGATTGGAGGATTACTGTCCACTGAATCCTCAAAGTTTTTGTTTTCTGTCGCTATAAATAGTCTCTCGAGGGAAGCCGTGTTTGACCTTGCCGATCAACCCTGCAAATGTAAGTGCAGTGCAGACACAATGCCATACAAAACAGGCTGGCCGGCGTGGATGGGGACCACTGTGTTCTCTCCTCCCCAAACAACGGCTCTGCTGCGAGCCGCAGCTTTACCTTCTGTGCCTGCCTGCCAGCTGCTGTTAGAGGATCTCGAGTTTGCCTTTCAGTACCTTGAAGACATCGAGACAACAATCCTGTTTCATTTGCTCCTGCTTTTCAGCCAAGGAAGGAAACACAGCGTTTGCGTGACCTGTCCATTAACTGTGACTGAAAAAAGTTGCAACGAGAGATCTTTACAAGTGCAGACTGTTGTTTTGCGCCTCTTAAAAAGCCGTTGATAATGATTCATGCCCCATCTATCCGGCCACTGGAAAAAATAACAGTAACTCCCAGCGTCCCGTATGGATCTAGGGAAATAAAGGCTGCAGATCTATTGTGAAATAGCTCACCCATTCATAGGAGAGCTTGAATTGTGGAGATGAAAACCTACCACTTCCATCTCCTGCGTGGTTTTGGATTAGTCAGGAAGCCACTGAGGGTAGTTGCTGGATCCCTGCGTTGCAGCATAGGAAAAACAACAAAGCACTACAGAAGATAGAGATGTTTACTTGTAGCAGTCGTGATCAGGAAATTAAACAGAAATCCTGCAGTCAAGAGTGTCAGGATAGAGTTCTGAGACTCACCTGGACACCTCATGTATTTCTAAGCTTCTCCGATCTGAACTCTCAGGAGGTTTTCAACAGCACTTCGCTTTGGCCAGAGTAGAGCTATTTTGTAGAAAAATTCCCTAATGGTCATCTTGTGGGATTTCGTCAAAAATTCCCAATCAGTGGAGGGAGTCCCAGAAAATTAGCATGTGTGCATATATACGTGTGTACCTGCACAGGAAATATTTTCGCTGGCCTACCTTGCCTGTTTAAATGTATTTGCAATTATTTTACACCAACATAGTGGCCAGCATACCACTTAGCTCCTCCATTAATTGCCTTTTAATTCCCTTACAGGAAGGAACATCCAAATTTGCAAATCTGGACAGCAGTGTGAAAGAAAATCAGAAAAGGACACAGAGACGACTGCAACTGCAAAAAGATATGGTATGTCTGGGGTCTTTTCCTACCCTTTTCAAACTGGTAATGTGATTAACCGTAATCGGTGAATTGCGTAGGAAGGAAAATCTAGAAAGGTATGTAACAAAGCGAGTGCGCAGTAGGTAACGCTCCTCAGTGTGCCCTCTGTCAAGCAAAACCATCACGTCGATGCTATCGATTAGCTGCTACAAAGCAAGCGAAGAGAAAGGTTTGGACTGAATTTGCAGCCAGCATGTTTGTCCCTGGATATATACGCCCAAAGCTGTATTTCCCTTACGCTGTGGATCACAGTGAGCAGGTAACGCTATGCATGTGTGTATACATACTTCTAGACGCTCCCGCACAGACATACATCTGCATACACAAACAAGTGCGAAGCGGGATTCGTGCTGCACCCAGCTCAAGCTCTATGGCCTGCGCGGAGCTGCCAAGCTGTAGCAGCTGTGGTTCTTCAGTTCTGCAATTCAGCTGTCCTCTCACTCCAGCAACACCTGAAATGCAGGAGGAAATGGATACGCAAAGCACCAGCACAGCCAGTGCGTTCAGCGACCTGATGCTGAGAACACTCCACGATTTCAGGACTCGGTGGACGTACGAGGGGGCCATGTTACGTTCCCTGGCGCCAGCCTTCCCCTGGCCCTGCAAGGGGACAACTGGGTGCATAAGGCTGCTGCTCCCGTCCCCACTTGCCTTTGCTTCCCATCCCACCCAGCTGCTGGGATGGACACTGAGCCAAGGGTCTGGCCTTAGTTTCAAGTCTTCCAGAAATTTACTAAACCGGTCATATAAAAGGGTAATAAATGATTGATGAATATAAACATGTGTTCATCGTTTTCAACCGTCTTGTTTCTGTCCTACAAGAAAGAATTCCATTAACTACTCTTGTTACCCTTTAGAGAGAAATACAGGGGAATCCACACAATTTTCATGTAGTAAAATACATAACGAAAATACATTAAAAAAATTGTCTCTAGCCAGAGCAGAAATCTCATTTACTTGTAAACAAGCTATGAAGCTTCTGACAGACCAGCTTGAAAATTGCACAGACTTCTACAGAGATTGTTTCAGAAAATGTGTCTAGTTTCCAGTCTGCTGGTGAAAATGGCTTTTGTCTCAAAGTTGGCAAGGATTTGAAAGGACAGGGGGAGAGAAATCTGGGATAGCGAGGCAAATGTGCTGAATATGGTTTTTTGTTTGACTTTTAGTTTGACTGGAAAAAAACCAGATCCTTTTGGGTGGCAGAAACAAATATTTCCTTCACAAGTGTAGAAACAGCCTGAATTGTACAATATACTGCTAGCAGTATAGAGGTTGTAGAAGGTATAAAATTTGAATAATTACTATTAAAATGCAGTGAATAGCTGGGGAAGATGGTCACTTCTTGGAGAAAAAAACCTGTGACTTGATTTGCCTTGACTGTCACACAGTACAACAACATCATTAAGTAAAAATCCGCTGGACTGAAGCAGGGAGAGAGGAACTGCTTACTCAGGCTAGCCAGGACCACTCCCCAATGCTTGCTCTGGCAGCAGGTAACCAAGGGACCCTGTCCCTGGTGCTCAGCAGGGTTTCCTGGCGACCCACTGTTAGAAATCAGTGTATGGGGGCAATACTATTCATATAAAACCGCTTGGCAGTATCTGTGAGAGCATCCCGCTCTCAGCAGAATTTTATTTCAGTTTTAGATTAGATACTGAGGATGATGTAATGAAAGAAAACATAGTTTATAAGACCGCTGCTTGGTTAAGCAGACTACTTTTATTTAATTTTCCTGTACAGGAGTATTCTAGAATTCTAATTATTACTGTTCTCAGTTGATTAATTCGACATTGCTCTGGTCGTTTGCAGGGGGTAATGCGAGGCACGGTACCTTATCTTGGTACCTTCCTCACTGATCTCATCATGCTTGACACAGCCCTTCAGGACCATATCGAGGTAACTGGGGGCAATTTTTTTAACCCTGAATATCCTCCCTGCCACTGAGTGTGTCTGTTCCTGTATCTTCTACTGGGTTATTGTGCAGCTCTTAAAAAATAGAGGAATCTGTTTTCAGAGAAAAAAGGAGGCAACATGCAGTTTTATTAGCAACAAGAATCTTGCGTGAATTTGAGTGCAGTTATCTCAAGGGACGAGCTTAGCATTCTATTTTGCCTTGTTTTCTTAGGTAGGAAAAGATGAAGAAAGAAGCCTTTCCATTATTCTGTTTTATTTTTCTGAAAAGAACATTTTAGTGTAAAGATTTCTGTGAATAGTTGGTAAAATACACAGAATCATGAACTGAGCTCTTCAGACTGTTCACTGAAGTGCTTCACAGTATTGACTTGGACGTGTCTGAGCCCCAAAGTGATTAAAGACCTTTTTTTTTTTTTCATTTGTCTTTAGCTGAACGAGCAGGGGGAACCAATCTAGCACAAGAAGGTTAAAACGCTTGCAAGAGAGTGTGGTCCTTTAACAGAGGCTGAGGATGAGGCCAGTTCTCAGAGGTGTTTGTTTCAAAGGTTTTCAAACACCTGTGAAAGTTGGCCCTGTTAAAGCACATGCTCGAGGAGCCGTGCTGTGGGTGCCCAGCCTTTGCTGCGCTGGTACCGGCATTTCTGCTAAGAACGGGCAAATCCCCTTCTCCCTGGGCTGGTCACGGTGGCTGGTTGGTTTGGTGGTTCTTTGCTTTGCAAGCTGCCCTGCAGCAGGGCTGTGGAAGGTTGCTCCATGTCCAGTTTCTTTTTGGCAGTTTCCCTTCTGTGCATGCTTTGCGTTCAGTCGGTGTCTCCGAAACTCCCTGGGAACAGCGCTGGGCTCCCAGCGCAGGCAAAGCTGAGTGTGTTTCTTGCACGCAAAATCCTGCGAGCGTTCTTCAGACCTGGTCTTGACACAGCCTTTATGGGCATTCTTGTGTTGGACTTTTCTTCTCGGGCAGATGGCCATTTGGGCCAGGAGGACAGCTACCCTTTGGAGCCTTGGGCATATGAGAGCTGTGGCTTTTACCACATCTGGAAACGGGTATTTTTAGACTGCCCTTGCTCAGGGCAGGTCTGTGCTTTACATTAGCCTCGCTACTTCACCCTGTTTGTGATTAAATTCAACTGAGCATGTGCTCTTCTTACTCTGACCCCTTCTCCTTCCTTCCAACAGGGTGGCCTGATCAATTTTGAAAAGAGGCGAAAGGTAAATGGAATGTTCTGCGATTTTCAGTTTCCTGATGCCCTCTGTTAGAGCGTTCTCTTGGCGAGGCCGTTTCTCTTTGCTCAGGCACATACAATAGCCGCTTATTTTAATGCAGGTTTGTGAGGAAAGAATAGATCCCTAGAAGACCGTAAGCCTCTGCCAAACTGCGAGGGGTGGTGCAGGACAGAACCTACTTTTTAGATGTGTGCAACAGGGGAAGAGGAGCTGCAGGCCCCTTGCTCCCCTGGGATTTACATCTGGGGCACACACGTTCCCTCCCTTTGGTGCTCGTGGGGGTACGTTACGCCTGGATGTGCTGTGGGGTGGTGAAGAGTGAATCAGACCTGGCGGCATGAGACCTTTGCTTTCCAGAAGATGCAGTTTGCAGATGTTTTCCTTCTGCTGCAGTGAACTGTTTGTAGGTAAAAGGCTGCCGAGAGCCAGCTAGGTACCCGGCACTGAGACACACACGCTGTCAGTCTTTCAGCCTGCTCCTTGTTGGTCAGAGATAACGCTGTGCAGGAGTAAAGGCACTAGGGTTACATCTGGCTGAATGAAGTCGTGCCAAATCTCCGTTCTGGGGCTGAAAGCAGATTCGGATTTGGCTGATGGAGCCATTTCCTTCCCTTAACTGCTCCCAGCTCTACAAACCACTTCTTGGACTTGCCTTGCGTGTGTAACTGCATGGCTCGGGACACTGACAATGAGATCTCTGTGGCCACCAGCCCAGCTTCATCCAAACCAGCGGCAAAGCTGCCCTCCGAACCATGCTGAGCACTCGGCTCCGTCCCTGCATCCCGATTCTATAACCTGCTCTGACAGAAGGGAGGGTTAAGAAATCTTTTGGCGAAGTGTGAATGCAAGTGGAGTTACAGAAGAGCAGCGCATTCTAGTCACCCGTGTGAAGGGCAGCATTTTATGTTCCTCTGGTGCAAGTGTGAGCGCGCAACGTGCAAATCCAGGGAAGATCAGACTCCTGGCTTTCATCGCAGGCAACCCTAACTATTACCCTTGCTTGCTGCCTGAGAACCACCTAAGCAGAGCGCGTGGTTCTTCCCTCGGAGCTGGTCTGGCCAGGGTAGGGTGATCGGCAGAACTTCTGACCCTTTGCTGCCTGTGTTCCCAGAGGAACAACCAGCAGTGCTGCCGTTCGGTGGGTTTGCACCGGCGTTACGCTTCGCTCAGTACTTGGGAAAGGCTCTGTGGTGAAGCATGACGCCTTGTGTTTGCCTTCTCAGCTGTGTGTGTCTGATAAAATGTTCGCATTTCAATGCACATTATGGATGCTGGGGGGGGAAAGGCTTCGTTGTTTGAAAAACTGGTTCTGGAAACAGTCACGCAACTGAAACCGAGCTTCACGTCAAACAGAGTTTGTCCTGGTTCTGTTGTTGCATGTGTTCAGTTTACGAATGAGTTTGGCTTTATCTTGTTTTCTAATTAAATTCCTATTTGATTGTTTATTTTCCTAGGAATTTGAAGTAATTGCCCAAATTAAGCTCTTGCAATCTGCATGTAACAGCTATTGCATGACACCAGACCAAAAATTCATCGCGTGGTTCAGGAGACAGCAGCATTTAACTGAGGAGGAGAGGTAGGTTCTCAGTCCGGCTGGCAAAGCAGGCTTTTCTGACCCCCAAGCCACCGGCAGGTAGGTTCTGTCAGCCTTCCGCTGTCCTCTTGCAGAGCTTACCTCCACTGCTGCTCGAGGTGAGTGGAAATACGTTTGCCTTCCGCTAAACAGCTGTAGAAAACCTGTGAACGCTCAGCAGGGTTTAGTTTTGAGATGGGAAATCAGGCTTCTGACTTTGAAATATGATAGTGTGCTGTGTCTGGGCTGTCTGTCTGCCCAGACACAGGCTCAGAAGTCGACCCTAAGAGACGTCAGGATGCAGGCACTGAGCTGGTGGATGCGGGCAGCAGGTAGCTGAGGCAACGCAGAGCTCGCTGAGCGTTCACCGGGTGAATGTCTCCCGGGCGCTTGGGGTGGGCTTTGCATGGTAAAATGTGGACAGAGCTCTGTTCCTCTTTATGGGTTTGCAGCCTTCTGTGAAGTGGGAATAATTGAAGGATTCTTGCATTTCTTGAATATTGCTACTTTGAGATACATAACTAATAGTATTGTCTGTAAAAAATTAACCCCGTGGCCTCTGTTCTGCAGTTACAGCCTTTCACGTGAGGTTGAAGCAGCTGCTGACACTAGCACCACATCGCCGAAATCTCGGAAAAGCATGGTGAAGAGATTCAGCCTGTGAGTACGACAGAGCAAGGGGCGTTCAATGTGTTAACACGAGCCTGAGTCCCTCGAACGAGCGGTCCTCGTTCCGCCCGCTGACAAACCTGGCTGGGGATCCAGACCACTGCGCTGCCAGAAGGAGACACCAGCAGCTAGAAACACACACCTCTGCCCGAAGCTGTCCCTTTCCATCGTTATAACTAGTCATGAGGATTATTAATGATGAAAGAGATTAGAAATAATCGAGCCTTCCTATGGTCTTACAAAAAGGAGCAATTTTAGTGCTGGATTATAAATTCAGTATCTGTTGTGTAATAACTTCTTCGAATGCAGTAGCAAACCAGAGTAAATGAGGATATAGTCTGGCCTATTATTAGTCTAATTTGCTATACGCATGCAAAAATTCCTTGCAGGATTTTAATATGAAAATTAAGGTTAGCAAAAAGGCAATCTGTCTAACTGCCTTCAAGTCAGAGAAGGAAAAAAGTCATGGGGACTTGGTCCAATTTAGTCTCGTACCGCAAAGACTGGAACCAGAGGCGGGTGGAGAACAGGGGCACGCGGCTCAGCAGGCACGGGAAGCAACAGACTAGCAGGGATTCGGGGAGAGCTGCAGGGAATGAAAGCAGAGATCGAGGGCGGAAGTAAAAATATCTTGAAGGTGAGAAATTTGAACCTGATGGGAGAAGAGATATGAAGGCACCCCCACACACCAGTGGCATGATCAAGATGAGGGGGGAAATGATGAATTTAACAGCGCTGTCAGTGCTTCGCTCTCCTTTCCGGCTTGGTTCGGGTACCTCGTTTCCTCAGAGCAGCCAGCAGCCGTCCGCTTCGCGTCCGCGCTGTGCAGGTTAGGGTCTGAAAGAAGAACAGATGTTGTCAAGCTAGAGTTCTGAGTTCTGATGCGCAAAACAACGTGGGCAGCTGCTTGGGAAGTGTTTCGGTTAGTCCGTCCGAGTTGATACGTAGTGAGAAGGTGAGCTTTGACAATGACAGCGCCTGAACCCTCGGCAGCCTCTCGTCTGTGGCTCCCACGGCACATGCCTAAGCGCTGCGTAGGAACTGTCACTGCCGAGCACAGGCTTTATTCTCTCATTTCCGACTACATTTCATTTATTATTGTAAGGTACTGCACTGTGTTTGTCTGCACTGTGCGGTCTTTGTCTAAACAACTGTTTCATCTGCACTCTGAATGGCTGCTGCAAATTAATGCTGTAGAAAAGACTGCCATAATTCAACCCAGAAACAGGGAGTGACACCTCTCTAAATTGTTTTAAATCATTAACTGCATGCTGACATAGCATCTCATTCACCTTGCTTCTCCACTTCATATACTATACAAGTTTGTTTCCTTTGATGCTCCTTTAAATTAACCTGACCCGCATTTAGCAAGGAGTCTCGGAGAGGGAGAGCCTCTAATTTACACTTTCTTGTGATCTCCTCCTTGCGTACGCATCCATTCAGGCTCTTAGAGAGAAACTGGTCTCTGTGGCACCTGTCCCGGGTGAAAGAATTTGCAGCAGGGATGAGTTTGCCTTTTGAGGGCCTTTGCCCGGTGTATGGCCAAAGTAGGTCTTGTGCTGTCTTCTGTCAGAGGGAGCAGGGTGCGACAGCCGCGCGCGGGAGCACGTAAGGCGGAGCCCGCCGCCGTGCCTCTGGCTTGCGCTCATCCCTGAGCTTGTGAACGCGGCGGGTTTACGATCCAGCATTTCCTGGCAAGCGAGTCTGACAACGCACCAGGCCCAAGAGGGGTCTCGCTTGTGGTACCCGGGCACCGGCTGCGATTCGCAGAGGAAGCAGGTTTTGTGTTGGTGTGTAGCAAACCCTCTTCACAAACAACACAGAGGGAATGGAAACACTAGGCCGCTCCAGATAGGAAACCAAAACAATCTGTAAGATTTTTGAACCCAGCGACAGCTTTGCTGAGTCCAGCTCTGTTCTGCTTTTGCTTACAGGCCGTTATGCTTTCTTTTCCACACTAGGCTGTTTCTTAGCTCCGAGATGATGGCCCATAGCACACCCATCAAGGAGAAACCCAAATCGACTCCAGGTGGGAGCTCTGGTGAAAGCATGGACTCGGCCAGTGTTTCGTCGTGTGAGTTTAATCACTCTGAATCTGAAGACGTCTGCACCTCTCCCACAGACGCTCCTGATGAGCCTCAGAAAAAGGTACGATGGGGCCTTGCTGCCAGCACAAAGCCCGTGAGCGGCGGTCGGCACCGCAGGCAGACACTAGATGCTCGCCCAAGCCTCTTGGTCTTGCCTAGAGGATGGCTTTTAGTGGAATGGAGAGATTCCAGAAAGAAGCGTGTGAAAATGGAAGCAATCCAGCCAGGATTTTTGCACAACCCCTTCTCTGTGGCCAAGACACAAGGCAGACTGAAGTTCTCCTTCCCTGAAACCAGTTTTTCTTGTGGTTCCTGGCAGTGCTTTTGCTTAGGTGAGGGCCTGGAGAAGCACGAGGTTATGTTTTTCTCTCAGAACCTCACGGTGCTTTTTGAGAGGGATGGGGCAGGCTAGCGGCATGTCGACCTCCGAGCCCGGGGGAAGCAGGGTGAGGAGCCCGAGCATCGCGCTCGCTCGTGGCACGTGGTAGCGTGACGTTAGCAGTGACGTGGACAAGAGGATTTATATGACCCCACAAACAAAACCAAATGAGAGGAGTAAGATCAACAGCGGGTCATCTCCTCCTGGAATACCTCCGGTTCAATGAGCTACTCTGCTGCCATGTCCGTCACGCTCAGTCAGCTGGAAGGGGAGGTTCGACTCCAGCCGCCCCACGGCAAACTGAGCGGGAGGCTGCAGCCGTGAGCGTTCCTGAGGGCGTGAGGGGCCGGACGCGTGCTGTCACCTCCCGGGGAGACAAACTGCATGGGCAGGGACCCAGCAGAAGGGACCTGACCGGGGGGTCCACAGGGATGTACTTCCCCCGGCAGGCTCTTCCCTTTTGAATGAAATTGTGTCAAGCGTATCACTGAAGCCCTTTTTAGGGATGTTTTGCTGAAAAGTGGGGGTTTAGCTTATGGATATTTTAGATTAAGTTGTACTAAATGTCCTTGAACCAAATGAAGCACGAGGTGCCAGGTACTGGCATCCATATAACTACATCATTTAAACGATGGACAGGCTGGAAAGTTGGGCAGAGAGGAAACTGATGAGGTACAACAAGGGCAAGTGCAGGGTCCTGCACCTGGGGAGGAACAACCCCATGCACCAGTACAGGCTGGGGCGGACCTGCTGGAGAGCAGCTCTGTGGAGAGGGACCTGGGTGTCCTGGTGGACGACAGGTTGACCATGAGCCAGCAGCATGCCCTGGCTGCCAAGAAAGCTAATGAGATCCTGGGGTGCATTAGGACTGTGGCCAGCAGGTCCAGGGAGGTTCTCCTCCCCCTCTACTCTGCCCTGGTGAGGCCCCATCTGGAGTCCTGTGTCCAGTTCTGGGCTCCCCAGTTCAAGAAAGATGAGGAGCTACTGGAGAGAGTCCAGCGGAGGGCTACGAGGATGGTGAGGGGACTGGAGCATCTCTCCTACGACGAGAGGCTGAGGGAGCTGGGCTTGTTCAGCCTGGAGAAGAGAAGGCTGAGAGAGGGACCTTAAAAATGCTGATAAATATCTGCAGGGTGGGTGTCAGGAGGACAGGGCCAGACTCTTTCCAGTGGTGCCCAGCGACAGGACAAGGGGCAACGGGCACAAACTGAAGCCGAGGAAGTTCCAGCTGAAGATGAACTTCTTCCCTCTGAGGGTGACGGAGCCCTGGCCCAGGCTGCCCAGGGAGGTTGTGGAGTCTCCTTCTCTGGAGATATTCCAGACCCGGCTGGACGCAGTGCTGGGCAGCCTGCTGTGGGTGACCCTGCTTGGGCAGGGGGTTGAGCTGGGTGACCCACAGAGGTCCCTGCCAACCCCTGCCATGCTGGGATTCTGTGATTCTGTGTAGCTGGAGCTGTTGTTGCAGTGATTTGGATACGTGACTTGGAGCGGGAAGACCCTCTCAGCAGTTTTGGAGCAAGGCAGATGGGAGAGCAAGGCAAAACCTCGAGCAGCAGCGGAGGGAAGGGGCAGCTCCCCTCGAGGAGAGCCCACCCAAGGAGCAGGGGCACGCGGGAGGTGTGCGTGAGTGTCTCCACTGGCGTCAAGGCTCCGGCGCCGCTCGTTGTGTCTGCTGCCATCTCCTGGCCTGCTCTTCGGGCAGCCAAGGGCCAGCAGCGCCAGGGGCCGGCACACCCAGCCTGGTGGAAATTAGCCTTCATTAAAACGGTGAAATTAATCCAGCGAAGGTCATTTTTTCTGGAGGCAGAGCACACCGCTGCCAGCCTGCTGGACCGAGTGCCGACGGCTGAGGTTCTGTATGCGCCTTCTGCCTTCTCAAGCTCTTCCCCCAGAACGGCACACGCGGGCACACAAAATGCCCAGTTTATGACCGTGTTTTTCTCTTTCTGTTGTGCAGCTCTCCGAATCGGAATCCTCCGAATCCTCCATCCATTCCACGGACACGTCTTCCTCAGGGGTGTCATCCTTAACCTCATCCCCTTCCTTGCTGTCCACCAACGACAAGTGCCCCATCTCCGTGACGCCCGTTACCTCAAAAGAGCCACCTCCTGTTTACAACCAGCAGAACAGAGACGCCTGCATCATCCGGATCAGCATAGAAGACGACAACGGCAACATGTACAAGAGCATCCTGGTGGGTGGTGCGGGCAGCAGAGCGCTGCTATCGCTGGCGATGTTTAAACCAGCGGCGCTGTTAGTCTCGAGGGCGCCTAGTCGCCGAGCCAACTGACCAAACCGGGCTCGGCAGGCAAAATGACAGAAGTTACGGTTCCAAATACACGGAGCACGGTACGAATGAGAGGTTGGAAAACAGCGTCTCTGTGGAAGTTCCTAGGCTTGAAATTAAAGTCTGCATTTAATCACAAAGCTCCAAGTGAAGCATCCTGATCAAGTGCAGGCTTTGCTGCTCCTGCCCTTTGGCTGGCTGCTTTTTCCCTAGCCTGGGACTTGTGAGTTTGGCCACGAGATGCCACGTGCCGCCTGTTGCCTGGAGCAGCTCTCCCCAGGAGCCGCCTTCTGGGAGCAGGGAGCCGGAGGCGAGGAAGCTGAGAAGCCCTTTAACTATGCAGCCGCTCTCTGTGGCGAAGGGTGCCAGCCCAGCAGCCGCCAGCGCTCTGGCGTTGCCCCTGGTGCTGGCTCCGCAGAGGGGTGCCGGGCTCGTGGCCGAGGAGCGCTGGGCCGTGGCAACGTGACTCACCTGCACGCATCTCTGCAGACCTCTGCCGGAGCCGTCCTCGGGGCCGGGGGGGAACACACGTACAGGGGCAGTTCTCGGCACGCTTCACTCGCTGTTTGGGTTTCCGTGCTCTGACCTCCCTGCACAGCACGGTGCCCGTCCCGAGGGCCTGGCCGGTTCGGCTGCTGGGGACACATCTTCCTCCCGACCGCACGAGGCTCTGGAGGGAGTCCGGTGTCGGCTCCGGATGCGCAGCGCTTCCACAGCAGACTGTAAGCCAAGGGACGGGGCCAAAAGTCTTTGCAGGATGCCAAAGAAAGTCTTTAGGGCAGGAGGCTGCAGATTAATTGATGTCTGCAAACAACAGACGGGGCAGCGATGTACGCAGACTGTTAGCGCTACTGAGAACAAGGTCTCGTGTCTCCAAGTGCTTGCTCAGGAGAGCAGGTGCTGATTTACTGCGGTCTCTTCTAGCACAGTATCTGTCATCTTCAGCTAAACCACCACCGCCATATGTCCCAGGTACCACGTGTCGGTACCTAGCAGAACCTGCCTTACTGACTCATCCTATTTTTTCAGTTCTCTGAAATCTTTTCCAAGACCAAGTGGTCTGCAGAAAGGCAGGCCTTTGCTAATTAATAAATCATTACCTAGAATGAATAAGCAGCAGCTCTCTTTGCAACTCTCTCTTTCCAGCTAACCAGCCAAGACAAAGCTCCTGCTGTCATCCAGAGAGCGATGCTGAAGCACAACCTGGAATCTGACGCAGCCGAGGACTACGAGCTCGTACAGGTCATCTCAAAGGACAAAGGTAGGGAAGCGGAATGCTGCTGCTGCTGCTCCTTGGGAAGTCCTGCTGGATTTTGAAGGAAAGACTAAAATGTGAAGCGATGTTAGAAATGCCAGGGATGTGTTGTCACAGCTGCCAGCGAGGGAGGGGCTGGGTGGCAGGGTGCGACCCCCGGGGAGCAGGGCAGGCCCCCGTCCCGGGTGTAAAAAAGCCGTGCTTTCGGCACAGCCTCTGCTCGGAGGGGCTGCCGGGGCCTCCGCCGGGCTGGGGGGTTGGCCCCCAGCTCCTCTCCCCTGCTCCCCTCCTCCGGGGACGGCTGCTGGGGGCACCACGTGGCGCAGCTCGGGCTGGAGAGGCACAGCTTCCGCAAACTAACACTCGCTCTGGTCCCCCTTTTGCAGAGCTGGTGATCCCAGGCAACGCCAACGTCTTCTACGCCATGAACAGCAACGTCAACTTCGATTTCATCCTGCGGAAAAAAGCTTTGCTCGACGGGCAGGTGAAAATGCGGAGCCGTTGCGGTCTGACGCTCCGCAGAACTGCGAAACGGGGGTGCTGGAGCAACAGGCCCAGCAAGATCATGGCGTGAGGGAGCCGTGGGCCCCGGGAGGAGAGCTGGTGCCTTCGCTACTGCCCAGTGTTATGCAGCCACCAGAGGAACCGGCCAGTCTTCAGCCTGGGAGACGTCTGGGGCTGCGAAGCGAGCGTGCGGTAGACCTACAGCCAAAGACGCGTCTCTCCTTCCTCGCAGCCGGACGCGGACAGACAGACACGGACTTACGGACAGTACGGACTGGAATCTTCTTTTTGTTTTGCACATTAGCCCCGGAGGGTGGCAGCCCCCATCAGAGGGGCAAACGGGACTGCGACATTTGTCTTACGGACACCACAGAAGCTGACTCTTTTGGTGAGAAAAACCTTTTCCTTTGTGCCAGTATTACACAGAAGAAGAATGTCTAAATTTATTTTTATACAACTGGAGACGTCTCAGTACAGTTCTGCGCGACCCGAGGAGGAGGGGGTGCCAGCCGGCCTCCAGCCGCCGGACAGGAGCACTGGTCTGCAGAGGGTGGGGGTGAGCCGGGCGCCGCGGGCAGCTCCGGCCTCCGCGAGCCGGCCGCCTTCCCGCGAAAGCGGGGGGGGGGCGGCCCCGAGACAGTCGGAGC